GGTCGACCCCCTGAACTGTTTCCACATTGCCGCCGTTGCCGTCTGCACGGTCGGCCCCCTGAACGGTTCGGGCTCCTATGTTGTCGGCCCCCGGGCCTCCTGTTTTGTTTTGCTCCGAGAGTCTTCCGTCCTCGTGGCTGGTTCGTCTGTGTTGTTCCCCTCGGTCTCCCTGCGTCTCTCCGTCCGTCTCTCTGTGTATTTCCTCATAACTCCCCGCATCTTCGCTCTGGTTTGTTTTGTTAGTTTTGCCCAGTTTAGGTTTTCCAGTTTCATGTTCACCCGCCATTTCTGTTTGTATCTACTCCTATTCAACAAATACTCACCTGCACCAGAGCTGCCGCATTTTGGGTCCTATCTTCAACTCCACACGTCCACCACCCGGACGTGACACTGCCAGTATTATGATTTATTATTGTTAGTATTATGAGACCTGCAACCAAATTGAAATGGCTAAAATATGTAAAACATGTCAAAACATTTTTTTTCTTTTTGGTTCAAACACAAAAATAAGCTTCTTCAGTCAGTATGTATTGATCAGTCTGATCAGTTTAAACCTGCGATCAGTCCTCTCTGTTCTCCATTATCAACTGCTTTGTGTTTTCATGAACACACTCAGTTTCACTACTCTCACTCCATTATTTTCCTGAAAATCCTAGCTCCTGTACTGCTGAGCTCAGACTCATCATTGAGCTCTGCTCTCAAAAACTGACATAGTCCGTGTGTGATTTAAGTGCTTAAAGCTTTTAAAACATGTTTAGCGCCATCTTCTGTCAGAACAGAATGTGACATCATCGAGTTGGTTCAATCAAATTCATCACATTATTTATTCAACAGAATTCATTTAGTGACGACATTTTAACTTAAGTAAATTAAAAGTAAATATAATTTTTAATATTTTGCAGCCTTAGTTTTAGTAGAAATATTTTAGCGATTATTTAAGATGTAAGGAAATGAGTGCAAAAAGAGATCTAATTGAGAATGTTTTCATTTTATCATCAGGATACTTAACCTTAATCTACTAAAGTTTCTCAAATGTACCAAAAATGGTCATAGGCATGAGCCGATATAATCAACACCAGTGTTGTACAAATGCTAAAATATTGTATGGACAATGGGTCCAATATTGTAGCATTTGCACAACACTGGTGCTAAACAATTACTCTTAGGGGTCCTTTAAAGTTTGATAGCTTTTCACATATTGTTACTGTGACAATAAAAATACATAATTAATTTGAAGCAATATTTACAGTACTCAGCACTTTTGAAAAAAGCAACAGAGATCTACAGATACTTTAAAATCCCCTTCTTTTTCACCTACAGCAGGAATACCATCAGCTTGTATTAAACATTCAGAACTTCAGAACTTCTAGCAGTGGAATTAGCCTTTATTTTTTAACTTTTTATTTTTTAACCTTTTCAGTTTCTCCCTCAGAGTTTCCTGTTGGTCCTGTTGTTGGAGGTGTTGTTTTACTCCCCCTTGGATTCTTCATCTGGAGAAGAAACAATAATGGTGAGATTTAGCAGAATTTTACTCCAATTATGAATTAGGGATTAAAGCTTTTAATAGTTATAAGTGCTGCAGTTATTTAGGTGATATTTTTAGTGAGTTATTTGATCATTTGTTTTTGGTAAGCTCCAACCTGTTGATCATTTTGTTTTTCATTCTTCTGTCTGTATTTCAGTGTTCCCACTTGAACACAGTGTGTAATCTCCCTGTAAAATGCAGCAACTTGATTTTACTTTCTGAGCAACTGATATTCTTTCACTGTAACAGGAGAAGTTTCATTTTCTCTTCATTTGTCTCGACAGGGGAGGAGTGAAGGTTGGAATTGATTTCAAGAGTGCTGTTGTTTCTGAATAGGGTGTAACAACCACTGAATCATGCAGCATACACACAGTATGTACCGGTATACAGAACACAAACAGAATGACTGCTGGTTTACTCTGAGGACTCTGTAATCAGTCTGGTCAAAAGATCCACCAGCATATTGATGGCATTAACTTCAAACAGCTCCAAAAAAAAAATCCATCGGCCAATAAAAACAAAAAATCGCCAGCGGCCCACCGGTATGCCCGATGGCCAGTCCAGCTATGCAGTCCAGTATATAGAGAGACGAGAGAACGAGGCTCCAGTTACAGCAGTGCAAGTAAACAAACAATAAATATAAGAAGAGTAAGAACTAAACTAAACTTTAGGACTAGAGGTAAAGGGATCAATAACAATTTACA